TAAGTATTTCACTAAGAGGTTAATGGTGCTATAAAGACATTTAAAGGGGGGAATTTTCCTGATCTGAGCGCTCAAAGAGAGCTTCCTTTAAGGGTGTCACATGACAGAGGACCTAAGCAGTGGAAAGGAATTAATTCGAGGGGAAAGTCTGGTGGGGGAGGGGAGTGGGGTACAACAAAGATCACCTGTGAGGAGCATAAAAATGGGCAAAACGGCTGGACACAGCAGCCCCAAGCAAGGGGCTTTGAGGTCTGTAATGAAGTTAGAGGGGCTGGTAGAGTCCAGCCAGTGCAGGTTGGATGAGAGGCTGGTGCCCGCTCTGGGAAATGGGAGGCTACTGGAACAGTTGAAAATAGGTAAGCGATGTGTTGGTGTGGGGAATGAAGAACAAGGAGATGCAAGTGTGAGTCCTGGGCTCGAATAACTAGGTGAGTGCTGTCCGCGGATGGAGATGTTGAAAAAGGTCTCAGCTGTGACTTCCATGGGAAGATGGCGTTTGGGAAAGAGTCTGAGTTCAGTCTGGGTCTTACTGAGCTTTAGGTTCATTTGTGACATCAGGAGGAAATATCAAGGAGGTGGTTAGAAATTCGGAATTCCGAGGAAAGTTCTGGCCCGGGGATTAAAAATAGTAAGTGATGTGCATCTTGGTAATGAAGCCCTGGGCGTGATGAGATCAGCTGGAGGCAGAGGAGAGCACCAAGGAGAGGGCGCCGAGGCTCGGGGGGCGCACCAGGACGGGGCGCAGGAGGGGAGGCCCAGAGGTGACTAAGGAGGAGGAACGGAGGGAGATGGGGGGAGAGGAGAAAAGCAGGAGGTCATGGTGTCACAGAGCCTCAGGGAGGGACTGGAGAAGACAGTGTGGTCTCCAGTGTCAGCTGTTACTGGGGAGGCAGCTAGGGTGAACCTGGCCACGTTCACAGGCTGGTCCCGTCTCTGTGGACCCAGAAGCCAGACTGGAGTGGGCCAAGGGTGAGTGGAAGTGAGACCGTGAGGACAGTGAACACACAGCTCGTGAGGATGTGAGTCGGGATGGGGAGGATGGAGACAGGGAGCGAAGGGGGGTTTTCATCGTGCCGTTGGTAGTGGTTTGTTTGTCCTAGCGGGCAAGCCTTGACCATGTTTAAAAGCCAACGGCAAGGATGTAGTTGGGAATATGGAAGAGAGAGGTGTGAGGGTCCTGGGATGGACATAAGGGATGCTCTCCAAGTTCTGCAAGGAGTGCTGGGCAGAGGGGGATATGTTCCTTTTCCAAGGGTCTGTCTTTCATGGGAGGTGGGGGCCAAGGTGGTCTTGTGTGTGTGTGTGCATGCACAGATGCCCTCACGGGAGGCTCAGGAGTCCATCTTCAGGAAATGGAAGACCGAGGTATTCCCTGCAGTCAATGGGAGAGTGAGGTGTCTGTTGCCAGGCACATCAAGATCGGTGGTTGGGAAGTCACTGCGGACCAGACTGCCTCAGTGAGCCACTTCCCTCCAGTGGCTGGCAAAGAAGGAACAGACAGGTGGCTTATTCCAGGTTTGGGGCTTTGCCAGAAGTGTGTCACCAGGAGTGTGGGGTTTTAGAATGGAATGAAGCCCTTTGGAACTTCAGACAAGGAGGCAAATGAAGACAGGGCAGGGTGGGTGGGCGGAGGGCCATATAACCTTTCCAGCAACGTGGAACAGCTGTGTGCTTGAGGATGAAGCTCGGGAGGTAAGTGAGAGCCCAGCAGAGAAGGACCTTGAGTGACAGGTGCATGGCCGTTCCTCCCAAGGTCAGTGGGGAGCCATTGAGGAAGCTGAGTAGGTGAGTGACACATGAGCTTTGCATCTAGAAAGCTCCATCTGTCTGCGGTGTGGATGAGTGACCCAGCCGGGAGCCAAGTGGGGGATTGAGCAGGGGAGAGAGGATGAAAGGTGGGATAAAGGCAGTGGCCCCCCGGGCGAGAGGGGCCCAGGCAGTGTCAGGTGCAGGGGGGACAGTGTCCCTCTCTTCGAGACGGGCAGAGCCCATGGCAGGACTCACCCCCCGCCCCCAGCCACAGTCATGTCACAGCAGGGAGGCAGTGGGGGGCCTCCATGGGAGACAGAAGGGGCAGCCATGAGAGGATAGGAGTTGGGCATGGGGAGAGGCCAAGTGCGGAAGGAGGTTGGATTTTAAGAGCTGAATGAGTAAGCTTTCGTCAGAGCTTTTCCTCAAGAGCGTGAGGATCTGCCCCTTGAGGCCCATCGCCATAGAGCCCTTGGAGGCCACCTCCCTGAGGCCCAGAGAGAAGCAGCGGCTCGCCTAAGGCCACATGAAGGCCAGGGCCACGAGGGGCCAGGACACTCACTAGCGGACTGCCTGAAGGGCTACTGGTCCAGGCCGGTCTCCCCTGCTCAGCCCAGGACTTGGGGCATGGAGTCAGACGCCCTCTGGCCAGGCCGTGCCTGCTGGTGGGGGTGTGGATCCTCTGGGAGGTACAGCCGGCGTTAGCAGGTGCCCCGGGAGCCCCACTCCCACCCCCACCCACCCCGAGAGGGATACAGGCCCCCGATGTCCTGCGGTGCCTCCCTTCCCCCTCCGGCGTGGCTGGCGTTCTCTGCCCTCAGCCCCGTCCCTTCCCACGGTCAGGAATACCCAAGGGCAGGCCTGCCCCTTCACCCTGCTTCCAAGTGAGGGACACAAAGCACAAACAGCCACGAGGGAGAAGCAGCTTTGACCTCAGGCCCTCTGCGGGCCCGACACCATGCTGGGTGGTACAAAGACTGTGTTCCTTCTTCCTCGGGGCCACCCCCTTTCACAGACGGGGCAGGAGTCGGGGGGCGGTGAAGCCAGGCCTGGGAGGACAGGATGAAAAGGTGGGCGCGCGAGGCTGCCATTCTTTACCCAGATCGTGGTCGTGCAGGAGAGTGCTGGTCTTGCAGAGGCTCTGGCCCCTGGCTGACTGTCGAGCTCAAGCACTGCTCCTGGGAATGACAGGCCCACCAAGGAAAAGTTAAAGGTCTGATTGGCTTTATTAAATGACACATGACTCGGGCAGCAAACAGAGGGGCGCTCCGAGGAGGTGTACAAAATGGCAAGTTTTCATAGAAAGGGGGTTTGGCAAGGACGTTATTGGCAAACAAAAGAGATTGTTCCAGGCCAGGCGTTTTGCCCTAGAGGGAAAGGCAAGGGGTCTTCCCACACAGATGACCTCATCTCCCTTGGGGGGGGATGGAGGGCCCACGTGGCCGACTCACTGGCCTGATGGAGAGATTCCTGACTGACTGGGTAGAGGCGGAACCTGCAGTTGGATGAGGTTTTCAGCCCTGTTGGGAACTCGGTGTAAGTGAGAGCATGTTGGGCCCGTGGTTTCCGCTTTGACACGACCCCACGCTAACCCAGCAGGCCCCTCCGCCCATCAGAGCTGTCCTTACAGACCCCACATTCTTGCACGGCGTTTTGAGCACCCTCCGCCTGTCACGGGGTTCATCAAATAGGAGAAACTTGGGCTTTTTGTCCCAAGTGCCTCTCTCCTTGAGTCCCTTCCACACTGGTGTAAACGCCCTTCCGCTCAGGACAGTGCACCAAGCTTCTCCTGCCGCTCCTACCCGGGGCACTGTGCCCGGGGCGGGGGGAGCAGTGACGGACACGCGTGGCTCCCAGAACAGTCCTTGGAAATTCCTTTGGAATGGAGGTGCTCCTCTGCATCCCCTCCGTGGATCCCACGGGCAGAATCAAGTCTGCACCTCCTGCCGGTGGCCCCGTCTCTGCAGCCCGCCTCACACTCCCCTGCCTACAAAACAAAAATCACCCAATTAGATAAATGGCAAAGGGGACAGATTTGCAGTTTCCCAAAAGAATGACTCATTTGGCAAAAAGATTCTTTGTATAGTTCCTTCTGATTTTAATCACATCTGGTGTGATCAAGTATTACTCAATTTACATAAATTGAGTTTCAACCAAGAGGTTGTTGGGAGCGTGGCTTTGATCTTCGGACTGTCCTGATGGAGACCGGTGGCCTCATCACACTTGATCCTCTGAATAACTAGATAAGGTACAGACCATCCTCCCAGAGCAGAAAAGGAAAACCGAAGTCCAGAGAAGCTAAAACTTGCCCATCGTGAGCATCAGAGTCAGATGCAAGCCCAGCCCTGTCCCGCTCTAAAACGACTGGTATTTCCACCTGCCACCAGCTCACTTAATCCAAAATGCTCCTGGTGCTTCAGTCTAGCCGGATGAGGCATGCAGGGGGCAGGCGGTGGAGGCTAGAGCCAGCAACCCACCAGCAACTAGGCACCTGTGCTCAAGGCCCCCGAGGACTGCGGTCCCAGGACAGCCTGTTGAGGGACATCAACATTGCCAGCAAATGCCTGTGGCTGGGGGTGGGCAGCCACGGCAAGGAAAGGATCATTCAACACAAAAGGGACCAAGAATATCTGGAGGGATCTCTGAGGGGGAAGAGGACACCTGTGGCTGCTACGACTGGGAATTTGCAGTCTGGTTCCACTGTCTTCCTCTCTGAATAAGAAGCCTACGAAGCAGAAACAGCAAAGAGCGTGGGAGCTGAGATTCAGGATTTAAGACCTGACTTTGAATCCCAGACGGAACACAAACTAGCTGGGTGGCCTGAGGTCAATGACACAATGTCTCTGAGGCCTGTTTACTTGTTTGAAAGCTAAAGACAACAATAATATCTGCATCTCCTTCAGGAGAGCCAATGAGATTGCTTGAGTGAACTGCCCTGTTAACCATCCCTCATGTCCCCATTCTATCTCAAATGGGGTGGAGTGTTGCAAGATCTCCGATTCGGGGGCCAGACGCTCAGCTCACCCTCCCTTGATGGTTCTTTCCTCTCTTGCAGACTTACTTCGTTCCAAAATGGCATCTGCCTTTTATCGAGTGTTCCTCATTGTCAGCATCTGTGCTGCAATCCACTGTGTGCCCCCACCCAGGGACCCCAGCAAAGGATTCTCCTGCCTGTCCTCCCCAAGGAGCACCGCCACCTCCGGGCTGTCTTCCAGCAACACCAACTTTGCCTTCCGCCTATACCGGAGGCTGGTTTTGAAGACTCCGGACCAGAATGTCTTCTTCTCCCCACTGAGTGTCTCCACTTCCCTGGCCATGCTCTCCCTCGGGGCCCGCTCAGCCACCAAGACCCAGATCCTCCAGAGCCTGGGGTTCAACCTCACACACGTGCCAGAGCCCGCCATCCACCAGGCTTTCCAGCACCTGCTCCAGTCGCTCAGAGCCCCCAGCAAAGACCTGGACCTGAGGATGGGGAGTGTCCTCTTCATCAAAAAGGAGCTGTGGCTGCAGACAAATTTCTTGGACAACATCAAGAGGCTGTATGAGTCGAAAGTCTTTTCTACAGATTTCTCAAGCACCTCCACTGCCCGGGAGCAGATCAACAGCTATGTGGAGAAGGAGACCGAAGGGAAGGTCGTAGACTTAATCCAAGGCCTTGAACCTCTGACAGTCATGGTTCTGGTGAACCACATTTTCTTTAAAGGTAAGGCTCTGAGAGGTTGATTTTGACTTTAATGTTGTTTCTTTTTTTTCCCCCCAGTTGAATAAGCAAGCTAAACAAACCCTAGACAGCACAGTCAGGTAATGGGAAGTCTGAATTTGGACCAGGCATGTTAACTGGCTGGCTGCATGACTGTGGCTACATCCTGTTTCCTCTCTTAGCTTCAGTCGATCGATTATGATGGAGGCTCGTTCAGCTCTGACTTTGGATAGCCTGGTTATGTGCCCTGAGGGACTGACTTTGGGCTCAGTGGGCAGCCCATGGGGAAAATCTTCTGGAAAGTAGCTTGTGAGTAAGGGCCTCATCTCTTGCTACCAGCAGCTGCCCTGGTTGCCTCCCGAAGGTTTCGAGGAGGGACACAGAGTTCTCTGACAACCCAGCTTCAGAGGCAAATCCAAAGGCCAGAGCACTTTTAGAGGTGTAGAAGTGCAGACAGGCCAGGATGACTGCCATTCACAACACCCGGGCATCCGTCTAGAGCTTTACAGTTTACAAAAACACTGTGCTGCAGCAGAATGGACATGGGCTTTGAAGTCAGACAGCACTGGGTCTGAATTCTACCTCTGCCCCTTACTTGTTCCATGATCCTGGGCATGTTGCTTTAAAACATCCATCGTGTATTGAGTGCCTAATGTGTGTGAGTCTCTGTGCTAACCGGCTGGATGATGATAGAGCCAACTTCAGCAGAATCGTCACTACTGTATCAACCCTCCATCCTTCCCCTCTCTCTCCTTCCCTTCCTTTCTCCCTCCTGCCATTCATCCCTCCCCCATTTATCTTTCCTTCTATCCGCCCGTTCACCTTCCCACCCATTTACCTATCCATTCTGCAAGGAGGGAGGGGAAGCGAAAAGAATTAATATGCCGTGAGCCCCTTCCAAGTCTCCTGAGCTCTATATACATTGTTCCATTTAATTTAATCTTATTTTTTTTATTGAAATATAATTCACCTACCACAAAATCCGTCAAGTTAAATTGCACAGTTCAGTGGGTTTGGATTTTGGTACATCCACAAGTTGTGCAAATACCTCCACTATGTAATTCCAGAACATTTTCATCACCTCAGAAAGAGACTCCCTATCCACGAACACTCACTTCATTTCTGCTCTTCCCCCAGAAATAAGTAATTAATCTACTTTCTGTCTCTATAGATTTGCCCATTCTGGACATTTTCTATAAATAGAATCATATAATACGTGCAAGGATTTGTGTGGACATAGTTTCCAATTCCTCATACCAAGGAACATGCTTGCAGGATTGTATGGCAAGAGTGTGTTTGGTTTGGAAAGAAACCACCAGACTGTCCTCCAAAGTAGCTGTACTATTTTGCATTCCCACCAGCGTGTGTGAGTCCCTGTTGCTTCACGTCCTCGGCAGCATTTGGTATTGTCAGTGTTCCAGATTCGGGCCGTTTGAATGGGTGTGTTGTGCTTATTTTAATTTGCATTTCCCTGATGACATACGATATGGAGCATCTTTTCATGTTTATCTGCCATCTGCATATCTTCTTTCATGATGCATCTGTCAAAGTTTTTGGCCCACTTTTTTAAATTAAGTTATTTGTTTTCTTATCTAAGTTTTAAGAGTTCTTTGTATATTTTGGATAACAGTCTTATCAGATGCATATTTTCTCCTAGTCGGTCGCTTGGCTTTTCATTCTCTTGACATTGTCTTTCACAGAGCAGAATTTTAGATTTTAATGAAGTTCAGCTCATCGGTGATTTCTTTCATGGATCATGCCTTTGGTGTTACATCTAAAAATTATTGCCATGCCCAAGATCATCTAGTTTTTCTCCTCTATTATCTTCTAGGTGTTTTATAGTTTTGTGTTTTACCTTTAGGTCTGTGATCCATTTTGAATTAATTTTAGTGAAAGATGTAAAGTATGTGTCTAGATTCTTTTTTTTCTTTGCATATGAATGCCAGTTGTCCCAACACCATTTGTTGAAAAGATTATATTTGTTCCACTCCTTTGTGCTTTTACTCCTTTGTCAAATATCAGTTGACTATATTTACATGGGTCTATTTGTAAGTTCTCTCTTTGTTCCATTGATCCGTTTGTTTATTCTTCACCAATACCACACTGTCTTGAGTACTGTAGCTTTATAGTAAATCTTGAAATTGGTTTTTGTCAGTCCTCCAACTTTGTTCTTCTCCTTCAATACTGTGTTGCTTATTCTGGATCTTTTGTTTTTTGATATAAACCTTAGTATTAGTTTGTTAATATTGATAATATAATTTGTTAGGATATGGATTGGGTTGCATTGAATCTATAGATCAAGTTGAGAAGAACTGACATCGTAATAATATTGAGTCTTTCTATTCATGAACATGGAATATCTTTCCATTCATTTAGTTCTTTGATTTCATTCATCAGAGTTTTATAATTTTCTTCATATCGATCTTATACATATTTTGCTAGAGTTATACCTAGGTATTTTTTTGGATGCAAATGTAAATGGTATTGTGTTTTTTATTTCAAATTCCACTTGTTCATTGATGGCATATGGCAGAGCTTCAGTCGTTATCTTAAAATCTTTTTTTCCAAAATTGATGCTATAATCACTTACTAGTTCCAGGAGTTCTTTTGTTTGTTGACTCTTGGAATTTCTACATAGACGATCATGTCATCTGTGAACAAAGACAGTTTTATTTCTTCCTTTCCAATCTGTATACTTTTTATTTCTTTTTCTTGTCTTATTGCATTAGCTAGAACGTCCAGTAAAATACTGAAATGGAGTGGCTCTAGGGGGCATCCTTGTATTATACCTGACTTTAGTGGAAAAGCTTTGAGTTTCTCACCATTAAATATGATGTTAGCTATAGGCTTTTCGTAGATATTTTTAATCAAATTAAAGACGTTCCCCTTTATTCCAAGTTTACTGAGAATTTTTATTATGAATGGGTGTTGGATTTTGTCAAATGCTTTTGCTTCATCTATTGATATGATTAATTTTTCTTGCTTAGCTTCTTGATGATGGATTATATTAATTTATTTTCAAATGTTGAACCAGCCTTACAAACCTGGGATAAACCCCATTTGGTTATGGTATGTAATTATTTTTATACATTATCAAATCTGATGGCTAATATTTTGTGGAGCATTTTTGCATCTATGTCCATGACAGATCTTTGTCTGTAGTTTTCCTTTCTTGCAATGCCTTTGTCTGATTTGGTATTAAAGTAACGCTGGCTTCATAGAACAAGTTAGGAAGTATTTTCTCTGCTTCTATCCTCTGAAAGACATTGTAAAGAATTGGTATAATTTCTTCCTTAAATGTTTGGTAGGATTCACTAGTGAATCCATCTGGACCTGGTGTTTCCTGCTTTGGAAGGTTATTAATTATTGTCAATTTCTTTGATAGATATAGGCCTATTCATATTGTCTATTTCTTCTTATATAAGTTTTGGCAAATTGGAATATCTTACCTAGGTTATCAAATTTGTGGGCATAGTATTGTTCGTAGTATTCCTTTATTTTCCTTTTAATGTCCATAAGATCTATGGCACTGTTCCTTCTTTTATTTTTGATATTAGTAGATTGTTTGGTCCATACTTCCTTCTTATGTCTCATACTTTTTTCTTTTGTAAAAGCTGGATTTTTAAGATTATGTAATGTGACAACTCTGAAAATCAGATTCTCCCCCTTCCAAGGACTGATTGTTTTTGCTTGTTGCAATAGTTGTTGTTTAGTGATTTTTCTGAATTAATTATTTAAAGTCTATACTTTGGGGCACCTGGGTGCCTCAGTCAGTTAAGCATCTGCCCTCAGCTCAGGTCATGATCCCAAGGTCCTGGGATCGAGCCCTGCATTGGGCTCCCTTCTCAGTGGAGAGCCTGCTTCTCCCTCTCCCTCTGCCTGCCACTCTGCCTATCTGTGCTCTCTCTCTATCTCTCTGTCAAATAAATAAATAAAATCTTAGAAAAATATAAAGTCTATACTTTGTGATGTGTGGCCACCGAAGTGTCTTCTTGGTTAGTTAAGTACTTAGCTATGATTGGGCAGAGATTTCGTATGTGTCTAGAATAAGTAAATCTCCTCGTCTTTGCTGAGGGCTTTTGTGTGCATGGTGGAGTGTGCCATCAACACTCAGCCAAGCAGTTTATAACTCTGACTCAGTCTTCACTTTCTGTCTATGCAGACCCTCAAGGTCAGCCATAAGTAGGAACTTACAGCCTTCTCATATTTTTTCTCAAATTTGCATACAGCTATATATATGCACACAGCCTCTAAATGCCCAAGATATAGGGGCACTTTCCAAAGCTCCTATGGACATCTTATTCCTCAGCTTTTCCTTTCAGAATTTTTGATCACTCTGTGGTTTGTCCCATCTATTATCCTCATCCAGACAACATGAAACAAAACACTTGCCTATAACTGTTTCTAACAAAAACTTCCAACCCCTTGGGAAGAAGGCTTTAAGCACTGAGTGAGCACCAATCAACCTTGTAAGTGGGGTCTTCCAGATAACTACCAGAGAGGTCAAGTAATAGTAATTGTTTGAAAATAAGTCTCTGAAAATTCTTCTCCCGATGATATTGGGAATACAGGCTGCTATTTTTCAAGGCTACTGCAGAGCTGGAGAGTAGAGGGTGGGACTCTCACAAGTTAAAATAACCGTGAAGTTGACTGTTCTTATTGAGATTCAGCCATTTTTCTTGAATTAACTCCCCGGTTGCTGCAAGCCTTTGGTTAATTTCCAGAGTTCCAAAAAAGTTGATTCTGAATATCTTTGCCAGTGTTTCTCATTGTCCTAATGGAAGGGGAAATATTCAGAGGTCCTTACTCTGTCAGATGCCACCCCTGCCCCCAGCCTGTCTTGTTAACTTTTTGATTAATCTGTTGTTTGCCCCAACTATTATTTGCCCCCAGCCTCTCCTGTTAACCTTTTTGATTAATCTGTTGTTTGCCTCAACTGTTATCTACAGCCTCCAGCAGCTGCAAAATTTATCACCACCTGTGACTGTTTTTACTAATTTCCTCTGAGGAATGGGCTTTTTGCATTGGTTGAACTCCAAATCAGATCAAATACAGACAATTTTTTGAGGGATGCCTTCCAGGGAAGCACAGGACGGGTCAAATAACAGTTCTTTGGGAATAAGTCTTTGAAAGTATTCCAGCCCTATTTTTTCCCCTTCAGTGGCTGCCAGCCTGCTGGCTTTCACTGCAAATGCAGGCTCTTATTTTTCAAGGCTATTATTGAAGAGCCAGGACAAGAAAAATGGAACTAGGGCAAGTTAAAATACCACAAAGCTCACTTTCTTACCAAGATTTAGCTGCTTCCCTTTAATAAACTATTCCCTAATTTGCTGAAAGAGTTTGGTTAATTTCTAGAGTTCTAAGGAAGTTAATTCAGACCATTGTGGTTGGTTTTGTCTCATTGTTTTTATGGAGGAGCGAGTTTTCAGAGATCCTTACTTCATCATTTTTGCTGTCTTCACCTCACTGACTATACTTAGACCTAAAGACCTCTCTTTTCTCTTTGTGCTAGCCAAGTGGGAGAAGCCCTTTAACCCAGGATATACGAGGAAGAGCTCCCCATTCCTGGTGGGCAAGAGGACCACTGTGAAGGTCCCAATGATGCATCAGGTAGAACAGTTTGCTTTTGGAGTGGATTCAGAGCTGAACTGCTCTGTGCTGCAGATGGACTACAGTGGAGACATTGTGGCCTTCTTTGTTCTCCCTGGCCAGGGCAAGATGGGGCAGCTGGAACAGGCCTTGTCAGCCAGGATGCTGAGGAAATGGAGCCACTTACTCCAGAAGAGGTGGGAATCTGTGTCAGTCTCCTGGGGTCTGAGGCGGGTGATGGGATACCTCCAAGGATGGGGGGAAAGACCATGATAGCAGTTGTTGAATGCCAGCTGAGCATCTGCTGGATAGGGAACTTCACAATCACCTGACAGGTGAAGAATGCTATCACCCCCATCCACAGGTAAGGAAGTAGAGGCTCTAAAATGGGAGGTGAATTGTCCAAGGCTAATATGTAGCTAATATGTTCCCGCAACACTATTATGTCATTGTAGCGATTCCCTGCTAGCAGAACTCACTCAAGCAGCCGATTGGATATTAAATTCCATGGAATGATTCCATAAAAATAAACAAGCATAAAAAGCACTAATGCTCACCTAGAAAGTGAGGATAACACTATTACTCAACCGAGAAGTTGTTGAAAAGATAAAACAAGTTACTATTTATAAAGTGCTTAGAACAGTGCCAGGAAGAGCGTATGCATTCGATAATGTTAGCTAATAGGTAAGATTATTATTCGTTCTGTAACGATTATGGAGACTATCAAAAGGATATTAACCATAAGATTAAAAAGAATGTCAAAGTCTTACGTATAATCTCTTAGCAATATTTTCTTGGCCTTGTCGGCACCATTCCAAGGTGCCCACAGCCAGGAGGAGACAAAAGACAGGATCAGGGATAACTGTAATTCAAGAAGACAAAGATCAGTGCCTCAGCAGAAGGCAGGCAGTGTGCTGAGGAGCTTCTGAGCAAAGAGAGTTCGCTTTCAGCTGGGATCCATGGAAGGCTTCACGGAGGTAGTGCATTTGAGTCAGGAGCATAGGTAGGACGTGAGGCTACAGCTAGGACATACAGGCTTGGAAAGGAAGCAGCACTGGCAAAGAGGCGTAGCTGGGAATCAAGGAACACTGCAGGATGCTTCATAGGTTTCCTCTCTGACTGCAGCCATGGTTGGACAGAAGAGGCAACACAGAGGCTGGGGCAGGGGGCAGTGTGTGAAGAGCTGCAGACAGAGCAGGGAGGAGATGGCCAGGCCAGCGCAGGGCACCGTAACAGGGAAGAGAGAGCTGTCCATTGTGCTAGATGCTCATCGATGAGGACGTCAGGGTCCATCCAGCACTTCTGTGCTTTCATTTCTGTGACTTACCAAGTACATGACCTCGGGTAAAGTACTAAAACTAACTCTTAACATCTTTAAAATGGAAATGAAGCTCATGAATGTGCCTGGGACGTGCCTGACACATAGTAAATGCTCAGTAAATGCGGGCTATTCATTCTTGGTTCAGGGAAACCATTGCAGAGGAAGAAAAAAAGTTATGCTGAACTCCAGGGTTGTGCTGTCCATCTACTAGCCCCATGTAGTTATTTAAATTTAAATGAATTAGGGTGCCTGGGTGGCTCAGTTGGTTAAGCGACTGCCTTCGGCTCAGGTCATGATCCTGGAGTCCCAGGATCGAGTCCCACATTGGGCTCCCTGCTCGGCAGGGAGTCTGCTTCTCCCTCTGACCCTCCTCCCTCTCATGCTGTCTCTCATTCTCTCTCTCTCAAATAAATAAATAAAATCTTTAAAAAAAAATTTAAATGAATTAAAATTAGTGAAACTACATTTTTTTTTCCTTCATTGGCACGAGCCACGTTCAAAGTGCTCGATAACCACGAGCTCCTCGTGGCTAACCTACTGGTCAGCACTAACAGAATATTTCCAACCTTGCAGAAAGTTCTACTGGACTCTGCTGCTCCCAGCACTTAGCAGGGTTTGTCTCAGGAAGGGCTGGGGGAGATGGCAGACACGCTTCCGTCACCGCCTGGTGTCCCCCATGGGTCGCGGGCATGGGCTCCCTTGCTGGGCCCCCGTCTATGCTCTGTCCCTACTTTACTACAGGGCCCCGTTCCTTCTTATTCATCTATGGGGCTAGAGCTGCTCATCCAGGGGGCTTACCTCCAGAGCAAGCTGGGTTGGTCGTCTGGGATGTGTTGACTACTTTAGCAGCAACCAGGAATAGCTAGAAGAACAGAGTCTCCCAAAATGCCACCCAGAAGCAGAGATAGAGACCAAGGGGCTTGTGACCTCACCTTTTTCTTTTCCCCATCTCCACAGGTGGATAGAGGTGTTCATTCCAAAATTCTCCATTTCTGCCTCCTATGACCTGGAAACCATCCTCCCGAAGATGGGCATCCGGGATGCCTTTGATAAAAATGCTGATTTTTCTGGAATCACAAGGAGAGACTTCCTGCAGCTTTCCAAAGTGAGCTGGTCCATGAGAACATTTGCTCGAGCTGGAAGGGTCTATAGCGACTGACTAATCGAGCCCTCACATCTCACTGATACGGAAACATAGACCCCCAAGAGGGAAAGTGACCTCTCTATGGCAGAAGTAGGGCTGAATTTCAAGGCTGCCAGGCCTGTGGCTTTATGGCCATCATCACTCTGATACACAGGCAACTTTTATCCCTCTTCCAACAAATGTTCCTAAGATCCAACTACCGTTCCTTGAAAATCAGATTTCTCCTGGGAGGACAACACTTTTACCTCGAGACCCATTACAGATGAGCAGGTGTCCAACCTGCCATTTGACCTCACCACCCTGAAGCCTAGGGCCTCACACTGAGGCCTAATTGGCTGCCCATGGGCCATTCGTATCCTATAGATATGCTGTGTTTGGCCTGCAGTGTTAAAAAGAAAAAGAGAGCCAATTTCTAATATGTAAGATATTGTACCTCAAAGTATAGATTTCTGACTGTCTTGAAAGAAATCACTGAGTCCAGTTCCCACACGGCAACCATGAGCCCAAACCCCTACATAGAATCCATCAGCTGGAGCTGAGCCGTGAGCACCCCTTTTAGTGAGAGGGAGCCTTCCAGGTACCCTGTGTGCCCCCTGCTCTTACGAGAGGTCTGGTCCTTGTCTGCATGGCGGTTTCTGATCCCTGACGGAAAAATGTATCTTGGTAATAGATCAGAATGGTCAGAAGTGGTCCTGGGTCACTGAAGGGAGCCTTTGTCATGTGTTGGGGGAAAGAATACAGAGGTCACAGTGAAATCTGCTGAGCGTAACGGTCCTTTTCCCAGTATGTGTTTATGTGCACATATGAACAATAATGACTGTAATCGTCTGGAGTTCTCAGGCCCCCTGAAGCTTGGGAGGACAAGAGCCCCTGGTGAAGTCTCTTCGCTAGAAGACCCAGAGGGGATCCGGTATATAATAACACCGCCCTGCGTCTCCAGGGCTACGGTGCGGTCATACATTGTTCCCGTACTTTGCGTCTCCCTTAATTCACCCCATGACCTTGTGGGAAATACGCCATGACAATGACCCTTTCAGAGATTTGGAAAGTGAAGGCAGGAGCCCCTAAGTAACGTTCGCGACAATAAAGTGGCAGAACTGGGACTCGACCCTAGGCTTCCCGGTGCGCATTTGTAACCCGACTCCACGTGTAGGGGCCCAGTTGACCAGTATCAGTGGCAGTTGCCCACCCCGTGCCCGGCACCGGGAGCAGTGAGCTGGAGGCCCCTGGAGGGGGGCATCACCGTCCCCAGGCAGAACCCCAAAGCTCAGTGAAGTAGAGGTGCCTCCATGGGGACCGCTGACGTCTGTTTTTCCCTTGGCAGGCCACCCACAAAGCTGTGCTGGACGTCAGTGAGGAGGGCACCGAAGCTGCAGTGGCCACGGCCACCAAGCTCACAGTCCGCTCCAAGGATGGCCCCTCTCACACCGTCGTGCGCTTCAATCGGTCCTTCTTGCTGCTGCTGGTCAGGAGAGCCACAGAGGCTGTCCTCTTCCTCGGGAAGGTTGAAAATCCCACGAAATTCTAGGTGGAAACCTCCTGCGACGGAGTCCACGTTGAAAACACTCAGGAAATAAACCATGTTGTGATGATCCCGGTGTGACTTGAGGACGTGTCTCCCCGGCTCTGAGGGTCTGCCTGACCCCAGCAGAGCTGCATTTGCTGCTGGGATGTCCTTGTGGGGGCTCAGTCAGTAAAAGTCAGTAGAGATCCGGGTCACAAACCCCCGGTCACAAAGCCTGTTCGCTCCCCCCACCCCCACCCCAGGCGCTGCTCTCTTCTACAAATCCTCCCCGGTAACTAGCTTCATGGACGTTTCTGGTGGGCATATTCCCATTCCTCGAAGCCCCGGGGGACAGTAACCTGCAGGGCAGTCACCTGTATTGCAGAGTTATAGGAAAAAAGTCAATAAACCCAAAATGAGGATTCGGCCAAGAACAATGCTCCCACACGCCTTCAGGGTCCAAATCTGATCATGGTTATGGGTTAACTCCCAGTGGCCAGGTTGTCATGATGTGACATTTCAGGGGTTGAATGAATTCATTCATCCATTTATTTTCTTTTCTAGATTGTATTTATTTATTTATTTATTTATTTATTTGACAGTGAGAGAGAGCAAACAGGGGGTCAGCAGAGGGAGAGGGAGAAGCAGGGTCCCCCCTGAGCAAGAAGTCCGATGCGGGGCTCGATCCTAGGACCCTGAGACATGACCTGAGCCAAGGCAGGCACTTAACCGACTGAGCCACCCAGGTGCTCTGCATTCATCCATTTCAGCAAAAACTCACTGAGCACCTCCTATGTGCTGGGAGTGAGTCAGACAGACGAGGTCCCTGGCCCCCTGGGCCTAGACGGGGGTGACGGACCCCCACCATCACCACACAACCAGACCTCTAAGTAAATCAACAACGAAGGCTGTGAAGACATAGAATAAGGTGCTTGCAAGAGGGCAGTGGGACAGAGGAGGGGCTCCTGCGAGCACAAAGCCTGAGTTAACAATGACAGGCACACCGCAACAGAAAGAGGTCCCTGGGGCTGGCATGGTAGAACTTAGGCCAGAGAAGTCCAAGGACGTCGGAATCGTTGGCGGGTTCGGTGAGGGCTCCTCGAAACCAGGTGAGTGTCTCAGGCAGGAAGACGAAGGGCTAGTGTCTGGGTCGTGACAACCTCTCTGAGTGGGTGCCATGGCTCTCCGGCCGGGCTTCGTCAGGGCTGGCTGGCACGCACGCCCCCTGGGTGCCCAGCCTCCTCCCTGCTGGCTCCTGGGGACCATAGCTCGGGTCCCTGACTCGGAATCCCGAAAGCCGCCACGTGGTCTGGGCACGGCAGGACTGGGCCAAGATAACCCCACCATCCCTCCCTGCTCTCTACCATACAGGCCGTTCTGGCTCCTTCTACTTCCCCTTTCATCGCTAAAGGCCCCTTCTGCAGCCTCTACTAGAGCCCCCCTGCCCATCAGATCTAGAGATTCCTTTTTCGGGGGGCACTGGTGCCCCCCACCATCTCAACATGTCAGGCCCCTCACGCTGGCTTTTCTGAGCCCTTTTACACAGGAAGAGACAAAAACAGAAGGCGCTTAGGCTGGATAGCTGGAGAGGAGCTTCAGGGGACCCCGACCCCCACGGTCCCACCTTCTTTTACAAACAGGAGAACAGAGAGCAGAAGCAACGAACCCAGGCCAAAGGGGCTCCCTGGGCAGAATCAGAACCGGGACCAAAGCCCAGATGCTGGGGGCTCCAACATGACTTTCACCACGATGCCATACGCACAGTGCTCTGCCCGCGGGCACGCCAGAAACTCACCGTGCAGAGCCAGCGATGGGTAGGACCTGGCTCCATGCACACGCAGCGTGCGTGCCCTACAATGGCACAGAGAAGTGGCAGGCGCGAGGGACTGGGGAAAGGCACTACTGTTGTGTGGGACTACTACTTCTGTGGCCATCAGGAGCCCCCACTAGTCAGGGGACGCTGAGGGCTGCCAGCCTCCCTCCCCCCAGCCTCGCCCCCAGGTGGCCCACGACAGTGAAAGTCAGGCTCCGCAGCTTTCCAGAGCCCGTTCAGACTTGTATTAGCAAGGAGACGCAAGAACGGTCCTAAAACAGATTTTGCCAGCTTGGTGAGTTCGAAGCTCTCTGTTTTTTGTGTGTTTTTTGGGTTTTTTTTTAGATGCCTATCCCTTGCGTTTGTTTTGAAACATGTGCAAGAATTGTTTTAATCGAATATGGTCAGATGGAGACACAGAGACAACCGCCTTTAAAAGAACGGTGTGACCTCTGATTCCCAAGAGGGAGAAGGCATGTCCGCTGTACGGGGCCTCATGGGGCAGCACCAGGAGGCAGGAGCAGGGGGAAAGCATGGACGAGAGCCTTTCTTACTGTGGTGGGGGTGGGTTAGGTGGGACAACACCCCCTTGAGCCGGAGGCGGGACACAGATGTTGAGGTCACGGTTGGGAGGTTTGTGATAGGATTTTTGCGGGCCGGTAGAAACACAGCCATCCTGTAGATGGCAAAACTTCAGGCCTTAGTCTGACCCGTGATTTAAAGACACCAAATCATAAGCTTCAGAAGATTCAGGAATGATTTTTACAGAACTGCTTCAAGGTTTCCCTCAGGGCAGAAGTGACCATGTGCTATAGGGCAGATTCAGAGAACTTTCTCATCAGAGCCAGGTGATGCCTCAGAATCCTGAGTCCAGGAAACATTCACACAAGGACAGAGGCACCCATACAAGGTTTCTAGCCAACCCACACGTCTAATACACCGGTCACTTCATTGCTGGAAGATCACTCTTTAAAGACTCATCTGTTCGGCTTATTAGTGTTGACTCTTAATCTAGTGTTCTAGATCAACCTAGTGTTGATTCTCGTTAGCCAGAGATTGTAGGGGCCCCCTCTGGAGAATGGGTTTCTGATTAGAGTCTTTCAAATACTGAGTAACCCCCTCACCCCGTGTGCATTGCTGATAGGTCAGGTTAGGAACTGAATGCCAATAGAAGTAATCACCACTTCCTGTCTGTGCTGGAATATTTTTTTTTTAAGATTTTTTTTTAAATTTATTTATTTGACAGAGAGAGAGCGAGAGCAGGAGTACAAGCAGGGGGAGTGGGAGAGGGAGAAGCAGGCTTCCCGCGGAGC